AGCACGATTATGAACACGCGAGATAGATGAGATGGTGTGTCGATTTACACGAATTAAACGCTCAGATTCGTAGTGTTTTAGGCAAAAATTGGATTGGAAGCGTTAGCAAAGCCTGTACAAGCTTCATGGGTGGTTTCTCGATGTAGAATGAAGTTAAAAAAAACAACCAGTGCAATAACTCTCCAGTATATCATCCTCAAGTCTTGTGACGTTTTTAAACTTGCAACGATGTATTTTCTTTAAGAACAAGTCCCTCAAAGAGTAAATAATGTACGCTGATAAAAAGAACAATTGATGAGTTACATTTTTTTCGTTTCAAGTCAATCCTACTCATATTGATAGAAAACAACTTATCTTTTAAAAACATATTTCGTAGTATTATCAACATTAAAAGAAGTTGATTAATGTATTGAATTTTAAACTTAGAACATCACGAAAAATAAAGATTTTAGGCTAACAATGGAAGAAAAAGCAGTACGGTACTTTTTTTCTAAATCTCTGAAAGCATTGTTACACCATATCCTCAAGAAGTTGTAAGATTCAAACTGTTTATCAACGAATATTTTAAACTCGAATTTATAGATTTGGTTTCTAGTCATTCAACACGCATAAGTAGATTCTCGTGTAAAACTTCAGTCGGTGCCTCTTCTTTAAATTTGCAGTCAAGCCCAATTCCATTAAATCTAGTCAATGACGATTCCCTCAGCCGTCTGCAACATCTCTGTGGACATCGTAAAGTTAACACATACTTATGTGAATGTGGCGGCCGTTTTCGGCTATTTTATGATCCTCGGCGACTGCGTTTATTACCTTTTGAATGATCCGGCGCTCGCACCCCTCCCCGCCACTACCACTACCGCTGGTGGACTGACTCTCTACTACCCCTGCTCTTCTACAGTAATCATGCAAATTGGTGATCAGTAGCCTGTGGTTGCTAATTTGTAATTTACCTGCGAATACTTTTTCCATGGCTCAAATCAATATTCGCATATCCTAAGTAGATTTTTATTTTTGGACGGCTTAATTTTGTATGGCTAAAACTAGAAATATCCAGTTCCGTGTGCTCTTAAATTGGAGAGCACGGCCCAACGAGAGTCTTAGACTTCCAGACCTTATTTTAATGAGATAGAAAATCCTTCTCATTGATTATTGCATATTATGTGAACAACACTGGATGACTGTGATTTGAATCTGTACGATTCTCAACGTACCAAATGAGCTCCGCGAGCTATAGACTTTTATCAGTATTCTTTCACTTTGTACATAGTTCATCTGAATGGTGGATCTTACATGAAAAATTGCCTAATCTATAACCATACGCTTAAA